TGTGAAAATTGCCTTTTGCGGGGTTAGCCGTGTGTCTCGTAATATCAACTAACAGGTGGACACTTTGAAACTATCGCAGACAATGGAAATCCTCTTAATCTTGTGATACTTTTTGCGGGTAAGATCCTTTATGTGCAATCCTGCTAGTGTTTGGCAAGAACTGGTCATTTGGTTCTACCTCGTACTGCCTTTTACTTGTTGTAGTCCCAGATTTGGAACCATTACAGACCAATATAAGCATGAGATGTCGATGAATCGTGATTGGATAAGAAGTTTTAACTGTACTAGCTGGCAAAGATCTCTAAAACACCATTTTTGATAGGTGTGCATTAGAATATGTGGCTTTCCTACTTCCTGTATCACCTACATTTTTTACCATCAAAAGTGTGGTTAATGTCAGAGGATAGGACTAAACCTTCTGGACTTCAAGTGGTAATTTTAACACTTTTAATGCTGTGAAAACATCTGTACGGAATTCGCTTAATTTTTGCCATCTGTTTTTAAAATATCTTTCCATGTATCTTTTCCCTTTGCTTTCTTATAGTGCAAATCGTTTATTTTTACATAAGTATATCAGCGTATTTGAGGTGGTTACTACTAATCTTCGCCTTTCAGCTGTTCAGGAGTGGCAAATTACAGGGCCTATTTTAATCGTCCTCGGCAGTAAACCCGGTTTTACGATCCACCTGAGTTTACGAACACGTCAACGGGAAACTCCAGTTCTTCGTTCAAGAGATGAACGCCTTAGTCTTATCGTAAGTCATTAACTATAAGAATATTTTTATTATGCATAGCATAGATTGCTCGATCGGAAAGGATGAGTGTATTTAATGCACAACTGGGACCTTCTATCTTTGCAGAGTGCACACCTACATTTATCCACGGCGATCACTTACTCAGTGTTTCTTAAACACTTTTGAGCACCCAACTCTTCTGTAATCCAGTCTTGCTTCCCAATATGTTGGTGAGCCTCTTCAGGGGTCACCAAGTCACCATCGCTGCCGTCGTAAAGTGCTGGATCCGGGCAATCACCATTCCGATTTGTTTATGATTCGATGATGCCACCTCTTGTGAACTTGGTTCTCTTGGAATGGTTTGGATAGTTTTAACTTACCCAAATAACCAAGTCTAAAGTCCACATTTGTCGATACTGTTTCCGTGCTTGATCACTCTTTTACGGCGATCTCACATATAATGCAAATTAGTGGTCCCTTTTTTTAAAGATTTTTAGTGGCAGGCTTGAATTTCGAATGGGCACTTCAACTATTGCACTTCCAGGCGTTGACCTGACAGATGGACTGTGGCACACGATTCAATTGACTGTCACTCCTGTGTAAGTTTTTCTTTACTCCCAACCGATACATCTGTATTGGCAGCTTTTACGACATCCTCTTCTTACTTGAAGTCGTCCTTCAACTCTTAGTGTCAAAAAGGTTGACGATTAGGGTCTTTCCACTTAAAAATGAGTGTATCACAGGTGATGAGGGCGAATCCCTCAAAATTTGACCGCAAAGCTTATTTGGAAGAAAGGATATTAAGGTGCATTTCTACGAAAAACTACTGTAAATCGTTTGGTTGGAGGAATTTCAGAACACTTTATTGTTAGGCTTTGAATCCATCATTTAAAGCTTTGAGTTAGGGGATTATCTTGCATGTGTGTGTGTGTGTGTGGATTTTAGCATTCGAGGAACGGCTTCAAGAATGGTTGAACTCTCTGTCGATGGATTATGGAACGCCTTTTACAATGCAACTCTTCTCCTCACTGAGTATTCCAGTCATTCCGATCTCAATGGCTACCTAATTATTGAAGCCATTTCAAGTACGTTTAGTTTACTGTAGTAAACAGAAATTTTGTGGACGTGGAGCATTAGAATTGCCCAAGGAAGGAGCGCATCGTTTTCTATTTCTCCTTTCAGGTTGCTTGTCAGATGTTCGAGTGGAGATGCGTGACAGCCGAAACAACATCGTCCATGACTACGTCCTCTCGGATTTAACAGATGAGAGGAGGTCTCTCCTACAGAAGGGCTGTGAAAGTGAGGATCTCTGTGCCTCCTCCAATCCCTGTGGTCCGCGAGAAATTTGCATTCCTGAGTGGCGTGGCTATAAATGCATGTAAGAAACGTTAAATGGACAATAAGGACTTAGAGTTAATCAAGTGTTGGAGGGTTGAAGGTGTAGTGGTGCCTCTTGAACCCCACCTAAACCTGATGAAATGGGAGTCGGGAGATCCGCAATTGAAATCAATCTCTCTTTACTTGTTCTCTTCTACGTATAGCGTTACTAGTACGAGATAAGCTGGTAGAAGCGATGAAAGGCTGCTCAGTAGTGGCTGGGACCTTCCATCTGACCCCTAGAAGTAAGGTCAAGTGTTGGTGGTTCCAGTTTAGCTTAATTGCCTCCCTTGTTCTCGTCTTGTCTCAGTCCTTTTTTGGTCTTGTGGATTGATTAGCTGCAAAGTCGGTTTCTCTCATCGCCTTATTCCCCCATCCACGACTCCACAATGCGTCCTCACCAGTTGTGATCCAAATCCCTGTCAGAACGGTGGAGAGTGCTTTGTCCTTGAAAATGAGACTATCTCGTGGGAAAATGAGACTGTTGGTGTGCTCTGTGGTTGCCCTGGTGGATGGACTGGAGTGTTCTGTGAACGACCTCCACTGGCACGATCTGGTCTTCAAAATTGGTGGCTCATTCCATTCTTCTTTGTGCTCATTTTGATAGGTCAGTGAGAATTGCTCAAGACTTCTTAATCCAAAAATTAGGCATAAAATGAATGGCTTTTTTTTTTGGCTTTAAATGGTAGATAGCGTCACTGGTTTGAAGTGGTTAATTTTGTGAATTCGGAGCATCTCACCTACCTTTCTTATACCTCTTTTTAGTATTCTGGATGGTATTCTGCGTATTTTGGTGGAGACGACGAAAAGTGAAGAAGATTGCCTCAAACCTATCAAATGGTCCGCCTTTCGTTGATCAGCAGGAACGAATGACCCTCGACAGTGTCGCCAAGGCTGGTACATTTCATTGTTTCTCTCTTCATTCTTCTTTTAATTATACTTTGGGATAGTGAATAAGGACATCTTGTTTTAATCTGAAGTATAGGTGAAGAGGATTACCGTGGATCTCTCGATTTGAGTGCTTTAAAGGCTCCCGACGTCTCTTTGCGGTCAGGACGTTTAAAGAGTAGGATTTGTCTCTACTACCTGTCTGTCTTGCTGATCACCTTTTCCAGTTGTCTTTCGTTTGAACAGTCATTCTATGCTTATTTGCAGTTCGTGGAACATCTGTGGAAACACGCACAGCCGACTCAATGCTGTCTGCGGAAGGTGAGCATTTTCTCGCCATGGATCAGCCACTACAATACGCCTTTGAGGGCTACGATTCCAGTCCACCGCCGACCTACTTCTTTAACAGTACAAATGGCAGTAGCAGTAGTCGACGCTTCGATTTCTCCAAACGTGCTCCCTAAGCATCTTCCATTCCATCTGGCCAGTCACTTAATACGCTTTGTACAAATGACTCAACCACTTCTTTTTTATCCAAGTTGATGACTATTTGATTACTGTGCTACTTATTACTACCAAAGTAGCATGTGTGCTTCCAGAGAACTGGTCTTTGTGGTGCCTCCTAGTATTTTTTGGATAAGTAGTGGCAATAAGCCCATCAGTGAACTCGATACCCATGCTACTGATGGATATCAGTAGAGAGTTTAATCAAATTTTGTGTTCACCAGATATAACAAGATATTGTGGTGCTAGCCTCTGCCGCTGTGTGGGACTACCAACTGCGACCTCTCACAACGGGGTAGATGCTTGAGAGTATCTATCTTTGGAAGAGGTGAACTTGGATGTCTTCTCAGTCTGCTTAATTGTGTTTTGGAATGCAATTTAAGTGCACTTAAGAAGCATTGCGATAATTGTCCACTCTTCGAGAAACTTGCTATTACCTTTTCAACAACTCAACAAAAATTATCGCTCATAATGCAAGAAAGGCCTACATGCTACTTTCATTCAATTCAGTAGCACCTCCACCAAGCATACAGTTGCAACGAGAGAATTAGACTCCTGACGTAATATTTGATTAGAAGTGGAACAAGTGAAAGTCTGTAAAGTTTTAAACCCGCATAAAGCAATTAGAGGTTAGAAACAAGGATGCATTTTTGTCTACCATAGCCCGAGGAAAGACATTCGGCATTTGTTAAATGAGAATTGCCAGGCCACCCCACTTCCTATTTACATGCACTATAAACATTGTACTTCACTCTTCTAGGTGCTTTCTTTTAAAATGAATAAAATTTGCAAGCATATAGCTACCAAGAATCCATCGGTTGCAGCATTTCATCCTCCATCCAACTCCCTCCTACAAAGAAGTGCATAGATTTGCTAACAACTTGGCCTGAATTACCACACAATCTAACAAAGGAAGTCCTTATAATCGCGGTGCATTGATACAATATGTTATTAGACTGAGCCTGTTCCTCGTTCAGCTGCCTTTCCCCGCTAGGCCTTTTTGTTTTCCTTCGTTCTCAATTCTCTTTGCTACAGGTCTTAACGCCTAAAGGGAAAAGATTTCAGTGACTTTTAATAATTGCAAAGGAGACAACGATTGTTATCGACATTCAGATCTTGTGCATTCCTCTATAATTAAACCAACCATTTTGGGAGGTGGTGGTGGTGGTGGTGCTTGGGCTCGCTGGAGAATGCGTTGATTTCTCTCCTCTTGCCGCCGACGCTCGACTTCCCTTTGCTGACGACGAAATTCGCTGCGTCGAGCTGCTCGCACTGAATGGCGGAGTGCCGCTACACGCTCTGGAGAGGCACTCTCAGCCGCTGCCACGGAAGTGAGCAAAGCAATGAGGTGAGCCTCAATTTCGGCAAACTGCGCTACTGCACTGCAGTGAAAATATGAAAAGCTAAATTATAAACCAGATTATGCTGCTTGAATAATAGACGTGAGCTTCTGAAAATCGGTGGCAAGATGCGGGGGGGAGTGAAATTTAATTGTATGGAAATTACGTCACACCTTTGATAGCCTTCAAGTTGTCACCGCCCTCACTTGAATGAAGTCAGTGCTAATTGAGACAAGGTAATCAAATTGCCACACTCGAGTGTATCTGCACTCCTTCAAGCATGCTAAATCCACTCCTCCGAATTACAGACCTTTCCAATTCATTAAAAACTTATTTATAAATCACACACGCACACAAGCACACACTGTCAGTGCGTTTTGACAAGTGACTGGGAGTGATCAACAGGTGAATGGGTAATGCCACGTGCACATCATCTTCTACTGTCTTCGTTCCTCTCAACACTAGATCGGTGTTTTATGGCAATGGACATCTGATAAGCTCCATCAAAAGTGTCAACTCCTTCCTGTTCCAACTGTGTCTACCTGTAATACATCCAACGATGCCAAACAGGCGTGAATTTGCATCGTTCCTATTGTCTCAGTTCGCCTTAAATCTATATCGGCATGCAGAGGTTGTCATCACTTCACGCAAGTCAAAAAATCGCGGGTTGACCCAAGACGTCCACCGGAATAAATCATAGCAGACATCTCCAACAACAATAATGCCTGTTTGCTTACCTAAGTGGCTTTACTGATGTACCCTCCGTTTTGGTTTCTTTTTGTAGACCACATTTTTCATAGACATAAGCAATTTTCTCACATAACTTATTAAATTGCTCCTCTTCATTCTTCACCTCCTCAGAGCCTCTACAAAATAAATCGTCTGTCCTTATTGAATTAGAAGAAAGTAATTTTACAAGCTTGAATGAGATATTTATACGTATTTGTGGGTATTTCCAAGCATTCTAGTGGGCCAGAAGAGGCATTATGCGGTCTTTATGTACAGATGCGTCAAACTGCCTGGTTTGACAATCGAAACACTTTCGAGAATGACAACTTGAAAAGACCTGGCCCCAAACATTTATGTA